ATGGGCATTTTGGTTGCTTCCATACCTTGGCTATTATAAATAATGCTGCTAGGAACAGGGGTACACGTATCTTTTTGAATTAAGAGTTTTCATCTTTTCTGGTTATATGCCCAGGAGTGGGATTGCTGGATCATATGGTAATTCTATTTTTACTTTTTTGAGAAACCTCCACACTGTTTTCCACAGTGGCTGCACCACCAACACTGTATAAGGGTTCCCTTTTCTCCACATCCTTGCTGACATTTGTTGTGTTCTTTTTGCTGATAGCCATTCTGACAGGTGTGAGGTGATATCTCATTGTGGTTTTGATTTGAATTTCCCTGATTAGCAATGTTGAGCATCTTTTCGTGTGCCTGTTAGCCATGTGCAAGTCCTCTTTGGAAAAATGGCTATTCATGTCTTCTGCCCATTTTTTAATTGAATTGTTTTTCTGATGTTGATGTGTAGAGGGTGTTCATGTTTTGGATATTAACCCCTTAGCAGTCATATCATTTGCAAATATTTTCTCCCATTCAGTAGGGTGTCTTTTCATTTTGTCGATGGTTTCCTTTGCTGTGCAAAAGCTTTTAAGTTTAATTAGGTCCCATTTGTTTTTGTTTTTGTGGTACGCGGGCCTCTCACTGTTGTGGCCTCTCCCGTTGCGGAGCACAGGCTCCGGATGCGCAGGCTCAGAGGCCATGGCTCATGGGCCCAGCCGCTCCGCGGCATGTGGCATCTTCCCGGACCAGGGCACGAACCCACGTCCCCTGCCTCGGCAGGCGGACTCTCAACCACTGCGCCACCAGGGAAGCCCCCACTTGTTTATTTTTCCTTTTATTTCTTTTGCTTTAGGAGATGGATCCAAAAAGTTTTGCAATGATTTAAGTCAAATTTTGCCATTTACAACAACAACATGGACGGACTTGGAGGATCCCATGCTAAGTGAAGTAAGTCAGACAAATACTGTACGGTATCACTTACATGTGAAATCCAAAAAATACAACAAACTAGTGAATATAACAAAAAAAGAAACAAACTCACAGATACAGAGAACCAACTAGTGGTTACCAGTGGAGAGAGGGAAGTGGGGAGGGGCAAGATAAGGGTAGTGGATTAAGTGGTACAAACTATTATGTATAAGCTACAAGGATATATTATACAACACAGGGAATATAGCCAGTATTTTATTATAACTATAAATGGACTATAAGCTTTAAAATTGTGAATCACTACATTGTACACCTGTAACTTACATTATATTGTACATGAACTATACTTCAGTAAAAAAAAAAAATTAAAAAGATGGCAAGTTGAACACTGTCCTTTTAAATACAGTGGAGACAGGGCTTCCCTGGTGGCGCAGTGGTTGAGAGTCCGCCTGCCGATGCAGGGGGCACGGGTTCGTGCCCTGGTCCGGGAAGATACCACATGCCGTGGAGCGTCTGGGCACGTGAGCCATGGCCGCTGAGCCTGCACGTCCGGAGCCTGTGCTCCGCAGCGGGAGAGGCCACAACAGTGAGAGGCCCGCATACCGCAAAATAAAAAAAAAAAATATATATATATATATATATATTGCAGACTACCTGACCTCTCAAGAAAACACTCGTATGTATCCGGACTCCTGTTAAGAGTTAAGATTCAGGCACAGGCTGAATGTAATCTCATCAATATCAGGTGACTGCCAAAGAGCAAAATGCTAGAAGCATAAGACCAGGTTTTGATTAATTCAACTATGTATTATATACCTACTGTGGACTAAATACCACAAAAGAAACTGCAGTTACAAAGTTGAACAAAACCTAATCTTTACTCTTAAAAAGCTTAACCTATCAGGAGAAAAATGTAGGAAGTGCCACATGTAACAAATACTAAAAAGGACAGTCTGAGACAGAGGACTGGGAAAGATGAGGGAGCAGTGAAACTCACTGGGGTAAATCAAACTGAGTGTTAATGGCTTCAGAAATGATTAGCAGACAAAGGAAGCCAGAAAGGCACAATGGCTCTGCTTAATTTTATAAATTATTACCAAATCAAGTCTAAAAATTAAATGACAAATAATACATCCAGATAATAAGATAAGCAAATGGGAGTCAAAAGGAAAGAGGAATAAGACATTGATTAGGTTATTACTAACAGTTTTTGGAGAGGTAATGCCTCTCACTGTAAAGATCTTTCCCACCAACTTCTCTCTTAAGTTGCTTCTGGTAGACTTAAATCATCTTTTAACTTCCTATTTCTGTTGTTATAGCCACATTTATTTCTGTCTGCAAGTGATCATGCCTTCCTCCCGCCAGCTGGTTTTCTAATTTTTCAGCTTCTAGAAACTTTTAAACAGAAGAAAATCTGATAAAAATAACTTGATATCATGTGATGTGTTGACATATTAAAGGAATCCTGTTGTTGCTTAGCCAAGATCATACTTCTATTCTTAAATGTTTCTCCAATAGGAAACAAAGTTTATGTGTAATGTTTGAACATCTCTGAATGGTTTACACTTAGAATAAAGTTTCACAGGCTATTTTTAGAAATGTAATACAATTATTTGTCTTTTCATTTAGAGTGATATTATCCTATAAATAAGAAAGCCATTTAAGAAATTCTGATCCCAAAATGTGGTTTACCACAAAATTTCAAGTAGTTTAAAAAAAGGAAAGCAATTAAAAGAGTTGTAAAAAGGAAGAAAAATAAAAGATGGGAAAACATATACTGAATCTAAATTTCCCTTAGAAAACATTTTTCCAAGTGAAACGTAATTATTCTATTGCTGAATGACCATTATAAAAAATCACATGGATCACCATATGATACTTAAATTTAAAAACAGGAAAGCAGTCCTTTAAGACAAAAATTAGACAGTAGTTTCACACTGAAAGTTAAGCAAAAGGTTTTGGAAATTTTTAGAATGGTTCACTTAAAAAGAAAAACAAATTCAGCAATTCTGAATTACTTATATAATTACAGGCTGGTTTTATCTGTGAAAACCAAATATAACATTAAGTATTAGCATGTAACCAACAATTATATGGAGTACTATACCAAAGGAAGATGCCTTTCTTGATGACAAAAATGACAGAGAGATGTAAACTAAAATTATACAGCATTGAAAGGGAAACCCACCACTCTTCCCTCTGATTTAAATCAACTGTCAAGAAAACTGCAAGGAGTCAGAGAATAAAACAAATGAACCGTCATAACAAAGAAGACACAAGAATCTTCTGAAACACAATACAAGAATAAAATCCTACCCCTCTTCAAAAGTTTAGAACACTGTTAGTAAAAGGCCCGTTTTCACAGGCAATGATGTGCCAGTAAATTAATCTGAAAATAACGGTTACTGTGATGGCTTTAAAACATGTCTGCAAATTCTTTGACACCCCTCAATTCAAATGATGGGTCAGACTTGATGCCTCACTTCTAATGAAAAAAACGGGCAGAAGTGATACTGTGTGACGGTCAGCTAATGCCTAGCAATGCTTATACGCTCTCTTAGGGCACTGGCACTCAGAAGCCAGCCACCATGTTGTGAGGAAGCCCAGGCCACGTGCAGGGGCCATACACGGGTGTTTCAGTCAACAGCCCCTGCTAGACCCCCAGCTGATACCAGCATCAACTTGCTAGTCACATGAGGAAATCATAAGCCTTCAGATGATTCCAGCACCTGGCCCTGAAGTCCTCTAGCTTAGGCCACAGACATCGTGAAGCAGAGATAAGCCACCCCTGCTCTGCACTCTCTGAATTCCTGACCCATAGAAACAGAGACAATAAAATTGCAGCAATAGATAACTGAATAACAATTACCTAGAACGCACACACATCAAACATGGATTTTTTTTTGAAACTGAAAAAATAACTTTTATACAAAACAATTATAGGATATATGCTCCACTTAGTAAGTTTAGTAGGTTTTATTTAAGTAATACAATTAAAATTCATTAATAAGAAGCTCTCTTAATTTGAAATCTGAGACAATTAGACTAAAGTTTAGAGTCTTAAGCTGGATGTCATCATTAAAGTGCTCTGGAAAGGAGAATTTAGGGAATCCATGCAAGAATACGAGGAGAATATGGAAGCTAACTAAGAGGTCAGATTGTTTTGAAGTACTCTAACAGTGGAACACTCCCCACAAAGAAGGCACTCGATGGTTATCAAGTGTCAAATGAACATGAGAAGCCCTGAGTTCTTCCTTAATCACTTTATACATGTTAATTAGTTTAAAAGTATTCTATTTGGCAAATTGGTCAGTTTAGTTGAAGCAAATGATTTGTGCATACATATATTTTATCTTTTCCTAATAAAAGGTGAGCTCCCGGGGCTTCCCTGGTGGTGCAGTGGTTGAGAGTCCGCCTGCCGATGCAGGGGACACGGGATCGTGCCCCGGTCTGGGAAGATCCCACATGCCGCGAAGCGGCTAGGCCCGTGAGCCATGGTCGCTGGGCCTGCACGTCTGGAGCCTGTGCTCCGCAAAGGGAGAGGCCACAACAGTGAGAGGCCCGTGTACCGCAAAAAAAAAAAAAAAAAAAAAAGGTGAGCTCCCTGAGGGCATTCCTGATCATGTTCATCTCTGTACCCCAATGGACATAACACAATGTTGTAGGTCCAACACCATACTTGACAAATATTTGTGCAAATGCTCAAAGTGCACAGATGTACCTGAAGCTAACTCAACTTTATAATTCACTTTTAACTAGTTTTTTCTGCCCTTTCCCACCATTAGTCCAAACTAATGTTTTATTATACTTCCAAGAGCACACTTTGTACCCCTTTATTATCATTTACTGTGTATTCACAGTAAAGATAAAGTACAAAGGTCTGCCATGCACAGACAGTGATCTGAGGTGTTCGAGCCCACCCTCCTCCAGGACCATGCCCATCGTGCTCAGTGCACACTGTGAGGCTCTGTCCTCGCCAAGGGGATGGCAGCCCACTCGCTTCCTTCTGCGGCTCAGGACAGAGAAAACCTAATCCATAAGATGTCCATTCTGTCACAGGCATTATTTTTAAAAGATTACAAAGACAGGCCATTCTGATTAGGATAAAAAAATAAAGACATGTAATTTTTAGTTTATTTCTCCAGTTCAGTCAGAACTGACACCAAACATCTTTGACAGCACTCCATTACCTGTGCTCAGTCGTTGCTCAGCACATTACCTGTGCTTTCACTGAATCAAAATTTTGGAATAATGATTTATAAGGTCATACCTATCTTTGAAATTAATCAGCTTACTGAGCAATTAAATACACATCCATACACATTCACATTTAACTACAGCTATGACATTCTTAATTTCTCCACTTTCGATCTCAACACATAACTTGTAATAACAAGATACAGTTCTAGTACTGACCTTCTAATTTGTTGTATGGCCCTAGACAAGCCATTTTACATCTCTGCCTCCACCACGTCTAACAGAGATAATGATACCTTTTTTAACCTATTTTATAGGTAAGTAGGCATAAGATTTATGTGAAAACATTTTGCTAATGTTGCTAATCAAACACAGGTAAAATATATAAGGTTTTATCATATTAACTACTTTCTAATATTTGATTTGTTTTTATAATTTAATCAAAATAAAGATGACATTCTTTCAGAACTACAAAATTCAGCAGTTACACAAGGTGAATTAAAGTAATAAATCTAGTCATAATAATAAATGCATTCATCCATGTTCTCATTTAATTACATTAAGAAATAATAATTATAAAAATAGGTAAAATGTTGTGAAAATATTCCTATTTATTCTCGCTTAGAGGAGTTCATGCCCATATCAATGGACTCTCTGGCATCAGACACAGCATCAGGTACTCGAACAGTCATATTGTCCATAGCCTTTGTCAAACAGATTTGGCAGCCCAACCGCGATCTGTAGAAAAAAGGGGGGAGGTATGATTTAGTATTAAGTATATATTATTCACAAAGCAATGCAGTTACCAGGACCTTTTCTTACCCAAAGCATAGGGATTTATTTACCTTTTAAATTTCCATTAAGTAGAAAAAGATACATCCAACCCTTTCAACTAGAGGATAACAGAATGTAAATATGAAAAACAAAAAGTGTGATACGCCAAAGCTTCATTTTAATGTTTCTACTAATTGTTTCACTGGAACTACTGCTTTTTTGGTGACAGGACTGACAAGCAATGAAATGATGAGAAGGCACAACAGTGGAGGAGAGAACTGAGGTTTTAGCAATGCCAAGAGAATGACTAATCAATTCCCAGATAATTAAAACCATACAGTCTATGAAAGAAAGCTACACTTTTTAAAGCCTTTAAAACAAGAAATTTGGAATAAACACATAGATGTAAGTCATCAATTATCAGATGCATATTTTTCCCACAATTTTAACATCTCTGAAACCAAATGCATCTTAAAATCAATGCCATCTTACAATCACAGCTATACTGTGAGGTGGCAGTCACATCAGAGGTGTCTCTTCAAATTGAGTTATGGGAAGTATGTTAATATTATGTGTTGAATTTCATTACCATTCAAAATAAGTCCAAAAAGATTACAAAACAAAAATTAACAATACAGAGACCCAGCATAAATTGATATTAGGAAAGTAAATATTTGTCATTAGAAGAATAACTGTAATTCCATTTTCTTATATTTTTTTCAGTATTGTGACCAATTTTATTTATATTTTCCTTTTAAAACAGTGATGTACAAATCTGTCTAAATAGCTCTAAATCTAAGTATAAATAGCTCTTTCAATATGCATAAAACGTTAAGTGATAAGATCATTTTACACCATATTTTAATCAGCAGAACTTTTTCCTTCTTAATGGCACATAAAAATAAGTATTATATTAGTCTTATAATCAAACTGCCTTCAATTTGATGGAATGTGGTATGTAGGTCTTGGTTTTGTCAACATATTCGTCAAGCACCTGCTGAGCATCAAAAGGCACAGAACTAAATGTCAGTGGGTTTGTAAAAGAACAGCAACTCACTTCAATCCTTACTGAACACCTCTTACATGCTGGGTGCCAGGGATGCAGGGGTTAGAGCCAAACAGACCAGTGGTACAGAATCCAGCACTGAACATGATGTGTTCACAAGCAACTTTCTTAACCATGCCAAATATTAGTTTCCCAACCTCATCCTAAACATGGATAATAAGTGGGCTCCTCACAGGACTGCCATGAGGATTAGTTGCTAATATCAGTATTAAGGCATGATTTCAATCAAATAGAAGAGCTGAGACACATTTGCAGATAATTAACATGTGAGACTGTGACAAATGCCACAGAGAGAGAAAGCTGAAAGGGCTGAGGAGAAAGCACTGACTTCTGATGGGGGAGATGGTGTTTCTAATGGGCTTTGAAGGCTGGCTAGAACTTAAGAGGAGAAAGGCATTTGAGGCAAAGCTAATAGGGATTCAAGGCATGTTTGAGGCAATATGGGTTTTTGGCCTGGCTGCTGTGCAGGCCAGACGAGGACAGGGGAGTGATGGGCTAGAAAGGTGGCCAAGCCATGGACAGCTCTGAACACCAGTGAAGGGGTTCAGGTTTTTACTGGTGGGCAATGAGGGACCACTGGGAGGTTTCTGAGTAAGGAGTAAGTACTACTGCCATGGGAAATATTGATTGCAGATAGAAAAAAATCCCCTTTTACCAATAATTCCTATTTGTTGAATAGAAACAGCCCTGACAATACTCAATTATGCATTAAGCTCTGTCTGCAAGAGAAAAAATAAGGCAAGCCAATTTAGACAAATTCATTAGGACTGTGGTGAGCCCTAGAGAGACTGTTGGTTACTCTTGGTATCCATACAAAGATGAGTAGGGTAATGCTAGCCTTCAAGGAACTTTTAGTAAGGGGAACAGGACAGAAAGAGCTACCAGTGATACAGAGCAGAATAAAGTAAGTGTAGTAACAGAAGAACAAGAACTGTGTGGGGGAACACAGGGAGGGGTGGCACCGAAAGCCCTTGCTGGTTCTATAACCCTAGAAGATAAGGCAGTGGCACCGTGGCTGTTCTCACTCCCCTGCTTCCTCCTGGAAGGTCTCTGGCTCTAGGGTCTACCAGTGTAGAAAGTGTCTTACACTTCTACAGAAGGAGACGGACAGCAAGTCTTTCTTGATTTCACTATTAATCCTACAAAATCTCACACCTGTGCAAACCTTGAAGCCATTTTCTCCATATACACCCGACAGTGGAAATATACTAGGTGTTACGTTAACTTTACTTCTAAAGTTTGGTTTTCAATGCAGAGAAGAAGCTTCAAATAGTAAAAAACCAAGGGTTTTGGGGTCTAACGTAACTGATTCAAACCAGGACTCTGTCATTCTCTAGCTGTGTGGCCTTGAGCAAATCCACAAGAACTAAGCTTCGTTCTATAAAATGGTGATAATACTGCCTAACTCTGAAGGTTAGAAATAATCTTTGTTAAGTTTGTAGGCATTATAGTAAGTTTCCGGCATTTGAATTAATATTATTATAGTCAGAATGCCAACAACAACCATTTAATGAATGCTTTCTTCACCAGACACTGTTCAAGGAGCTTCACGTACATTTATTAGTTGACACGACACAACAACCCTATGAGGTAGGTACTATTATCCTCATTTTACAAATATGGAAACTGAGGTCTCTGTGTAGATTATCCATGGAAACTGGTAGCAGGGAGCAATGACAACCATCAAAAATAGATTCACAGATAATTCCTGAATCTCTCTACCAACCACTAATTCCAAAAACAGTTGGTGGTGCCTTTTGTGAATCAGGCACTGGAGACACAATGATGAAATAAGACATGGCCCCTGCTCTAATGGGGAAAAGGAGACATGTAACCAGTAAAATAAGTGCCCTATGCACCCGTGTATCAACAAGCCATCATTAAATCAAGGTTAAGTACACCCTAAAGTAAACATTAAAATGATGCTGTTTTATCTTAAAAATTATAGACATTTACATAGCACTTAATTTTAAAAATAAACCTATGGGACTGCCCTGGTGGTCAAGTGGTTAAGACTCCACGCTCCCAATGCAGAGGGCCCGGGTTTGATCCCTGGTCAGGGAACTAGATCCCACATGGATGCCACAACTAAGAATTTGCAAGCCACAACTAAAGATCCCACATGCTGCAACTAAAGATCCCACATGCTACAATGAAGATCCCGTATATGGCAATGAAGATCCCACGTGCCTCAACTAAGACCTGGTGCAGCCAAATAAGTAAGTAAGTAAGTAATTAAATAAAATAAACCTAAGAACTAAAGACTGAGTTTCCTTGTTTCTTTGTTTGGAAGTATATGGAACCCTAGAAATAGAAGTTTACACGCAGTTACTATCTTTGAACAAAATTATTTTCATTCCAAATATGTCAGTGTTTTCTAAATCCTACCTGTGAAAAGCATTATACTCTTTCCCCACAAAGCATTTCTACTAAAATTCTGTGTACTTAAGAATATCAGCTATAAAATGCCATAAAAGCTATTTCCTGCTTTCCATTATCTTGTTCTAAAACTTCTGAATATTATCAAAGTTCTTGGCTAGTTTACATTTACAATAGGTCTCTTGTATCTTCTCACACTCATGTATCTTTCCTAAATGTAGCTCTCCATTTCCTCTCATTTTTTTTTCTTTTCATTCAGAATATTATCTGTTACATGCGCCTACAAATTTCACCTGAATAAAAGGGCAAGCAGTTAGCTATGATTTACCCCTCACATTGAAAGAAACAATTTTCAGAACCAAATTAACACAACATTGAGTGTATTCTGTGTGTTATCCTTTAGGGAAAAAAAAGGAGGTGTTGATAGAGAATGTGGCACCTGAAGATGTGAGGGGAGACAGGCAGATGGCAGCCACAATAAATACCAATGACCTAAAAGCTTTTTGAGGTCATTAGATAAGAGGGTTTATCTTAAGGATCTAATAAAATTGTGGTTACATGATACACATGAAATAAAGCTATTATTATTACTATTATTTCTTATTTTTTTAAACTATTTTTCATTAGGGCCACCAAATTACAGTTAAACACCAAAGCCAACCTTAATTAAATAAACTCTTGTTATCTCGTCCCTTGAAACAGTAAATTAACTACCTATCTTCCCTAACTCAAACCAAAAGACTAGATAATTAAAAAAAAATAAGGTATCACTTGATATCTCTTGCTACTATAAATCTTACCACTTTTAAGAGTAATTCTACTTATTAATAACAAGAATAAGCTCTGATTTACTTTAATGTACAGTTAGAAACAGAAGTATTCATTTTAACATAATTACTATTATATATTAAGTTCTTTTAAAAATTGTATTCTCTCAAGTAGGTAAAATTTTCCATTATAATTTCTTTCAATTATCAAATCTGTCCTTCAAGAATACCATAAAAAGCATTAAATTTAATCCCAACTCATTAAATTGTGATAAATATTAATTCCTGGAATAAAAATAGATGAAAGAAGATTTATTAGGATCTAGAACTTATGCTTCTAATACTTCCAATTATTTTTTTTTTACTTTTGTTAAAAGTTTCATAAGGGTTAAACTGTAGAATACATAAGAGAAATGTCACATATTTGATATTCAAAGTCTGTGACTGTTATCTGTCTACACTGGGAGACCCTATTACATGCATGCATATTACATGTTGCTGGTCAGAGACAGACATGAACTAATAAAACTTTTATCCTCCTATATTATTATTACAACAGAAGTGGTCCAAAAATCTTACCTATCTGTTAGTCCATATGCCAGATCAAGCATGTCATTCTCCTCATCACTGATTGCTTCTAATTTCTCAAATATGTGCTGTTCAAAGATGAGGTGACAGGTGGAGCAAGCCAAGGTTCCCTCACATGCACCTACAAAAGCAACAAACATTGAATATGCTCCCCTCTACATTCAACACAATTCAAAATTGACTTGAATTAATTAAATTAAATAATTTCTAAATTTAAAAATCAGCATTAGCATACATCAATGATAGGACTTTATTCCTGAATAAGAATTAGGGACAACCCCCCCATACCCAACACACACACACACACACACACACACACACACACACACACACACACAGAGTTTGAAATCACTTTCAAATATTATTTTTAAAAGGTATGAACTAGATGCTGTGAGGGGAAACATAAAAATACAAATCCTAATACCAAAGAGCTTACAAGTTAATAAACTCAGATATGCATACATACAAAAATGTATGCATTTTAAACTTATATGGTAATGATTTATATAACAGCTATGCAAGTTACTTACCGTTTCCTGGAGAGCACAACACAATTTATAATGCCTCACAGTATATAAGAGGAACCAGAAAGTAACCAAACTGACATCTAAAGTTAAATATTTTTCCCTCTCAATCTCTCCTTATAATCAGGACAGAATCAAATAAGTCACTTTAAGAGTCACATTGGTGACTCTTAAATGCAGGGGACACGGGTTCGACCCCTGGTGCGGGAAGATCCCACATGCTGTGGAGCAACTAAGTCTGTGTGCCACAACTAAGCCTGAGCTCTAGAGCCCGTGAGCCACAACTACTGAGCCCATGTGCCACAACTACTGAAGCCCGCGCACCTAGAGCCACTGCTCTGCAACAAGAGAAGCCACCGCAATGAGAAGCCCGCACACCGCAATGAAGAGTAGCCCCAGCTCGATGCAACTAGAGAAAGCCCACGTGCAGCAACTAAGACCCAACGCAGCCAAAAATTAATTAATTTTAAAAGAGTTCTTTGTACATTAAAAAAAGAGAGTCACACTGGTTTAAAATAGAGAAGAATATTTCTCCCGTTCCATGTTTTTAAAAGTCACTAACTTAACAGTTATTTATTGAGTGCATATTAACATGCCAAGGACTGTGAAAAGGGAACTGAAAAGTCATCTAGTCCAACTAAACTATGAATCTGCTCTGCAAAATCCTTTTCCCAGGGGTTACCCAGCTTTTGCTTGAAAACTTCCTGACAAAGAAATCCTCACTGCTTAAGCCAGCCAATTTCACACTCGGCTTCTACTGAGCTAAAAGTCTGTCACTCTGTAACTTTCCACCTACTGCTCCAATTCTATCCCATGAAGTCAAATCTGTTTTTTCTCTCTGGCTCTACCGAGGTATAACTGACAAATAAAATTGTAAGATATTTAAAGCATACATCGTGATGATTTGATATACGTATACACTGTGAAAGGACTCCTCTCATTTAGTTAACACATCTGTAACCTCATATATGTACTTATTTATTTTTAGTGAGAACATGTAAGTTCTACTCTCTCAGCAATACAGTGTTATCACTGCAGTCACCATGATTTACATTAGATCCTCAGTCTTTAATCATCTCAGAGCTGAAATTTTGTACCCTTTTACCTATTCAACTCCCTATTTCCCAACCTCCCCCAAGCCTCTGGAAACCACTTTTCTACTCTCTGTTTCTATGAGTTTAGTTAGTGAATCCTTCTAAACAACAGCTGTTCATATATTTGAGAATGTTCTTTCCTCTCCAGGCTGAGCGTAACCAGGCCCTCCAAATTTTTCTTACGTAATGACATAGTTCTCAATCCCTTCCCTCAGTCTGGTTGGGCTTTTCTTAAAATACAGCATCCAGAAGAGGACCTGACAAAACAGAATCATCCAGAATCATGTTCTCATTAAATTCTACCTAAAAAAGTTATTCTGGTTTGTTTCTGAATAATATTTTTTAAAGCCACTATACAACTGTAAAGATTACAGAGTCCTAGGAGTAACTTCAGTTTGATTTAGATTCTTTTGGCCAATAAACACTATATAAAATATTAATAGAACTGCTATCAATAATTAGTGAACTTCTTAATTTTCCTCAGAACGAATTTATCATTTTAAAAAGAGTTGTTCTTTCATAAGTTAAACATTTGTTACTCATATTTTATTTTTTAAAACATCAAGAAAGAAGAGACAGGCTTCCTTAAACATTCATTTTTATTAAATCTCATTCAAAGCAGTAACAAGATAAAGCACAGAGACACCATATAGTGATGTACAGGAGCCATAAGCATGGACTGTAGAGCCAGATTCCCTGGCTTCAATCCCAGCTCCACATTTTACTAATGGCATCACCTTGGGCCACTACACCCTCCTGCCTTAATTTCCTCAATAGTAACTGTACCAACCTCACATAATAGTTGCAAGAATTACATATAAGTGTGTACTTAACATATGTACTTGCAACCGCAACTGACTGGTAGAGAATAAGAACTATTCAAGTGTTGGTAATTATTATGATTTGGAAGTTATAAGAAAGAGTCATTCAACTTTTTTAAACGTAAGAGTAAGAATTAAACCCAAGAAGTTAAATGAATCAACTATGAATTCCTGCCACTCAATAATCTAATTCACCTTATGTGAATATTAAATATATAAACATATATATACATATATTCAGTACATTTATGTAATACACAAATATATACCCACACCAATTGGTTATTTGAACAAGCACTTTCCTTTTCTACTTTTGTATAAATATGAGGCATTTCACAGAAAAAGGTAAATGGATATATTTTACTTAAAAAGAAGTAAGCTTCCTCTGCTTAAAAAAATACAGATAGGTAGGTAGGTAGGAAGAAAGAGAGGGAAGGAGGGAGGGAGGGAGAGAGAGGAAGGAAGGAAGGGAGGGAGAGGGAGGGAGGAAACCCCTGCAGTAAAAGGAGAACTGGTGTAGTACAACCCTGAGGCCATCTGGGCTCTAGATGAATCTGCCATACCGTCTGCTATGTCCTGGGCAAGCCTCTCAAGGGCCTCGGTTTCCTTCTCATCTGTACCATGAGAGACTGAAGCAGATGATATCTAAGGGCCTGTTCTCGCTAACATTTTATGACTCCACAAAGAAGAATTACAGTTCTTAATGGATTTGTTCCCTAGTATTCAATAAATATATACTAACTTTGTTTTCTGTTTTTATCTCATCAATACCCAATCCAGACAAACTCAAAACTAAAATGGCAAATCGCTCTGAAGATACTATGGGACAAAATTCAGGAAATCCAGCATCTTTTGTCTTAAAAAGTACGTAAAACCTCCTTATAAAATATACCAAGCAACTCTCCTAATTTAAAAAGCTTATAACTCCCTTCATATTTTTATTATTAAAAAAAGACAAATCCTGAGAACTGCAAGCCATGTGTAACAGAATATGCAAGAAAAACAAAACTCACAGTCCAGGGTGGGATGCGGTGCTAGGGGCTATAGAGGCAGACAGGGGACCAAGCATGGAGGTCTCTCATGCTCTCCTAAGGAGCTTGAGCTGTCCTATAAGCGCACTCCCTGTTTCCTGACACGGTGGGCAAACTAGCATGCTCGTAGTGGGTGGGTTGACAGAGATGTTTCTGGCCAGGGGTTATGAGCACCTGTCACTTCACTGTCCCTCTCCTGGATCCAGACCCTGGAGGACAGTGGTTGCTGTTGAAGTTACGGGAAGATTCTAAAGGATTCTGAGTAGGAAAGTGACATGGTATGTTTATTTTGGATGGATCTTGCTGGTACCTGTGTGTAAAGGATGGATTTGACATGAACAAGACAGAAGCAAAAGTCATGAGATTTCACCAAGGAGGAGGGGGAAAAAGAGGAAAAGAAAGATAAGAAACTGAGTCAAGGAGAGGCCCGCCCCCTCCAAGAAAAGGAGTCAAAATACAAATGTGTCAAATGCTAGAGAGAGAACCAGAAAGTGTGACATGAGAAAAGCCCAGGGAAGAAGCGAGTGCATACAATATGGTCTCAATCATCTCGGAATGCAGAGTAAAGTTCACATGCTAATAAATCCCTCCAGAAAATTTAGGACATTCCTTTTTTTGCCACCTGGTCAGTCAAAATGAAGAGTTACCATCCGTGTTCCAGCTCTTCACTTTCTTCCCTAGGAAACGTCAATTCTTTTAACCTTCTCTTAAAGGCTTTATTTTCATTCTCTAATAGTTTTCGTTGCTCCTTTCAGGAACCTTGCCAATTATTTCCACATCTTGCTTAAGTTGCCAATTTCAGAGCTGAAGAGAGTATTCTAGTAAGAATTTGACAAATGTTGAATATATACAGAAGATTAACTTTTGGTTCCTACACTCAAGTTCCTATTATAGATTCTAGTCCCATATTTATTCTTTAGATAAACGCACCATGCTCAGGATTCCTTATTTTACAGTTCCTTTCAAACTTTTTCTATCACAAGTTGTCAACAGGTATGCTTTTCTTATTCTTTGTACTAGGAAGAAACTCAAATATAATAGAAACTTTAAAGCTCAGAATGAATCAACTCAGCATGCATAAGATGGCTACCACTGAACCAGAGACACATATGGTCATATAGTGGTACAAGTATCACTACAGAAAAAAATATGGAGCAAAGATTTACAAACCCTGTGGATAGTACTTATAAGAAGAAATAGTCAATCCTGCAAAACTCCAAAATAATAAGACAATCTGAGCAGTTTTTTGGAGGGTTTTTTTTTCTTAGATTTAAACTATATGTTCTATAAAAAAGAAAAAAAATTAGAGAACAGTGAAGACATGTCTCTGAAAAGGTATTAGGAGGAAGAAAAGATTTTAAAAGTGAGCCTAAAACTGTGAGAAGAAAACTTTAAGAAAAAGTTACTCCGTTTTTGTTTTTTTTTTCATCTCATGATTTCATGATGGGTATTTCTGCCAATTTATTTGTTTCCTGGTCTGGTAATTAGAGGGAGCTCCCCAATTAATAAGCATCTGACTTTTGCCTTTTTGGTATACAGGTCTATGAATCTTAACACATGTATAAGTCTGTGTACCCACTACCATAACCAGGATACAAAATAGGTTCGTCATCCAAAAGAAACTCCCCTGTGTTGCTGTGCCTTTGGAGTC